AAAACTTGTGCATAGGTTATCCACTCTCGTCACGTATAGTTACACCAACCCCCAGGTCTTCTGCTGCCTGTTTCCCGTGACAACCAGAATAACTTACGATAGTTACCAAGGGCAGCGGCCATTTCAAACTCTGATGCACAATGAGAACACAAGAAAGCGCGGTCTCTCTTCAGGCCAGCCCAAAGTTTTCCCGGACATATTTGCGAGTTTTATTGTGCTCGTTTCCCTCCGGAATATACCGGCGAGCAAGGATAAGTTCCAGAGACTGCGAAGAGACCCAATGTCCATGTTCGTGATTAAACTTGCCACATGAGGAGTTGCTTACTGCTAGTAAGGGCTGGTGAACATGAGACACGTGAGCTTCAACTGCATCCAGAGTATGATTACTCAACTCGCACGACGGCGAAGGTTGCTAGGCATTCAGAACAGCTGTTTGCGCCAGCTGGCTGGTGTCAATGCGCTCACAACGTCCTCTCGGGAGTCCGCCAAAGCGCATCCGCAGGTCAGCACATACAAGTGCATGGTCGGTGTCCACACCTGTGCTCCAAAGCGAATGACATTTCTGGAAGCAGCAATGTGATCGATTTGCGTCCATAGCTGATTGGAATCTGCTGGGCGCCAAGTCACCCTCCGGCGAGTGATGTGTCGGAAATTAATGCTCACAAGAACTAAGCCACCCTCTTCACACAAATGAAGTAACCGCTCCCCGTTATCATTACGGGAGCCTACACCCAGTTGGCCGCTGAAATGCAGTTCATCAGTGGATAACTTCCAACTTGAGCGTTCAGATCCCCAGCCAGCACAACAGTGTCCCAAATTCTTCTGTGGCAAAGGAGCTCGTTCAATTGGCGATAGAAGCCGTATTTTCCGGAATCATAGCTAGAGTTTGTGGGTGCATAGGCGGCAATGATGAATGGTGGACACCTGTTAATCCCGTGAGACTTCGAAGCTTAGAACGAGCCAGCCAATCGGACCGCACACATCCTGCCACCGATTGGAATCCAATCAACCAGAGCAGCTTCAGCCCGGGGACTCAGGGCAATGCCAACATCAGCTTGGCCGGTGCTCGAAGCTGCATCGTCATCGGATAGGCGCAATGAGAAAATACTGCTTTCGTCACCTGAAGGGGATCGCAAAGTGTGCACAGGGCTCGAGTCTTGCAGGCAGGTCTCCGATAAACAGCAGATATCGATTGATAGGGTCTCCAATGTTCGGGCAAGTGCAGCCTCTGGACCGACCTGTAGCAACGTGCGTACATTGAGGCATGTTAATCTAAGATTTGATCGATGGCACCAAATGGAAGCCGATGAATTTGGCTTGGCCGCTTGCTTGCATATGAGCTTGTCGACAGGGCAGGGATGGCGCCACACATGTACATGAGTTGAAATTAAAAGCCTATCGAAACAAGATAGGGGAGGGCCAAGGAGTTAGGTTTAAAAACTGGAAGATCCATCTGAAGCTGGAATTGGACGGTAAGAGTGAAAAAGCGTAAGTTTAGGAATCAGTTGAATAGGTTTGAGCACTAACATCCAGACCCCTATCCACCCTGCTCGATGCAGCAGCTGGTGCACCGTTGATTATCCTCCACGTTGGCTAGATTTTCATTAAAAAAGTTGAAGAGCTATTCATTGTATTGCTTGGGTAGGGTTATGCAGGTTGTCTATGCCTATATAAAAGATCGATCCGGGTTCTCAACCAAAGTCTTTGTTTCCAAAACCGGACCGCAAAGCAGCGTGTTCGGATTTGGCCTACAAGGTGTCCGTTTTGAAGAATACGGAGTCTCCTCATTCTAACCCCAAACCTGGAGGCTGAATTTGTCTGCCCCCTAACCATTGACCAATCTTGTATGAGTGGCTTTGAAGGTGCAAAAGCACCACCAAGAGTAGTTCAATGGAACTCTGAAGCGCGCAGACTATCGCACCACGGCAAGGTCCAGCCACAACGCGAGAGCGCACACACCACAGTAGTGCGTAGCCCGATAAACACAATTCAGTCTGCGTGCCCTCGGTGGACAACGGTGTATCAGTGAATACAAGTATATTTTAATCGCAGTTGTCAACTAAGGCGTTGACTTGGCAAATATTGTTTCGCAGGATACGCGAATTATTGAAGATCACTGGTATGTATTTGGTATCCTGAGCCCGGGATCGTGCGCCATCGGACCCGGTGCTGGCAGGGAGGAAGTGCACCGCCGGCTCACCACCCAAAAACATACTAAGATATCTTTTTGCTGCTTCACGACGGGCTTCAATATCGCACAGCCACCCGCAGTTTTAACGTCCCCTTCAACGCGAGATCTACGTGCAACATGACACCAGTGCCTTTGAGCTTAAAGGAGAAAAGTCGAAGAGCTTGGCGTGCCTCTGGAGCGGACCGAGCAACACGCAACAGCCTTCTCAGTCGACAAGCTACGTAGTCTGATGCGTTTTCGCACAGTGACGCAGGAAAAGCCCAGCAGTAATGTTTGTTAAAGCTTGTCATAACCAAATGAAGATAACCTAGCATATGCTCCTTTAGAAGAGCAGCATGAGTTAGTAACGATACTGATAAGCACACTGCAGTTAGTATGCCAGTTTGAGCAATGCAGAGTACTTATCAAATGTTCTGTTGACTTTGGCGGGTTCGCATTAGCATTCGATACTTTTAAACTCTAACGTCGTAAACGAAGCAACCTTGGATGACACAGCTGAAGTAGAACTAGAGGGGAATGGGGATATGGCGTCTGACGCACATGGTACATCCGCCTTGGGTTTTGCCACCATTTAACCTTCCCGTTCACTTTGACAAGGGCGAAAGCCCGATTGTCTCCCTAGCTAACAGACGAATCGAACACGGTATCAGAAAGTTCGTTACCAACAGTGTTCCTACGAACTTGTGTACTGACAGTAGCCTGTGAGCAAACAGACGCCGGGTCCGGAAATTGTACCTTCCACTGCCTAATACCGGAAACCTAAGCGGGCCAGAAACTTAACGAAGCAACCAAATTTCCCGTCCAACGAACACAGCAGACATCAAACTTTCCAGAGACATCGGACTTCTAGTTACTGACGTATAAGGCTCAGTGCTAGGCAGGCAGCAGGCAACACAACTGTGCGGTATGCTCTCGTTACAAGCCATAAGTGCATACTGTATCAGACTCAAACCAGTACCGTCCACTAGGAACCACTGAAACAAATACCGCATTGCAGGCTCCCGCTCAAGTCTGTAACCGCTTTGAGATACTCAGCTTTGCTATATTTACGAAACCAGCCGTCGGAAGGACAGGAAGAGTTAGGACTGCACTCATATCCATATTGACAAAAGAGTTGGAAAAGCAACTAAATGTTATAAGCAACAGTTGTGAACCGGTTTACAGTGACCAGGTATGCAATTGATGAAAGCACCATTCGGTAATACAAAGTGTCTGCGCATGTGTTGAAATGAACTCATCAAACCGTAAGGGACGAAACAAAGTCAACGTGACCTCCGAGCATGTGACGAGAGATTCTTCGCGAAACAACTGAGGCACAACAACCAAGAAACCGAGGGCACGCAGACAAGTTCCACTAAAATGATCAACTCACATGATGTCAAATTAAATGCGCATTTCGCCAATGATTAATGGCGTGCAAGCGGCGAGTAGCTGGTTAAAGTCCAGTGATCCAAAGCTGAGTAACCATCCATGGCTTTAGAAGCTTCAAAGTTTCAGGACAGAGGATCCAGGGCCAAAATATGCTTTAGCTAAACCAACGTCCCGGTTGTTGTTCCAATAATTTAGAATAGCTCCCAAATATCGACGTGATAATCGATTCTTGCGTTTATACTAGAAAAAGAAAGGATAGTAAAAAGTTCAATACATGTTCATGTGTTTGCATACACTTCTTCAGTGTGGTTGGAAGCTGAAATGAGTACACACAAATAAATGGGGAACATGACCAACCACATTTCTCCTAGACCTCGTTTAATGTCCACCATTGTGCGCGGGAAAAGCACAAAAAACTGGCTTCTAACGATGCTTTAATGCACGTGGCTTAGCAAAGGGACAATGGAAGAGTTTGATGGTAGGTCAAAAGAGGCTCTCTATGATGACAGCGATCCTAAAACTGTTGGAGCCAAGTCAAATTTTCACCCTGCCACTAAGGTATATACTTATAAGTCAATTTTGAGAGCAAGAATAGTCGACACTTGCGGCTTGCAGAATTATGTCGTAGCCACTAGTTAAAATTTCTTCATATGCTTTTGCATGTCAGCAAATTTAAGGGAAAAAGAACGCAGGAAATGCTAAACCATAAGCATATCGTCCGCCATGGTTACCGCTTCTAAGGTGGCGCCACAGCGATTGATTGCCCATATTTATCTACTTGAACAACCACAGAGTAGTTATATTTGCCATCCATTTATATCATCACGTAGACGTATTTGCCATGCACATCTTCCTTTTATACATTGTTACCTTCATTGTCAACCTAATCAATCTTTAGCCTAGCGTACCATACCACCCTCACCACATTATGCTCATAACAGATTGGTTTGAATCCACGTCCGGCTCTCGAAATCAACGAAAGGTAGCATCATGGAGGTATAAATAAAAGAAAAATATTGATAAAAAAATTAAAAAGGGCGAAGTTAAAATAAAGGAAACGCATAATTGCAAAGAGAAATACCAAGTTACTTAGAGAACCTTATGCAGACAAACACTGAATTATAATGATAATTACAGCTACAACCTTGCTCGTTTCCGTACAAGCAATTATAAAATATCATAAAGATATAAATAAATATTTATTTAACTAACGCACTAAAGACCGCTCAAGAATGAACACTTATGGGAGTTTCTATCATATTAGTCCCATCTAAGTCTGAATCTGAGACACAGAACTGTAGTGACAAAAGCTAAATATTGCCGTAAAGTAATAAAATTTAACATTGGAGGAGCATCATAATGAACAACTATGACTAGGTACATACGCCCTTTTGAGGCAGGCATTTATCACTTGTTATCTTATTTCCATTTAGCGGTCTGAACTACAGCTTGCTGTACCATACTGCCCAGCATATTTTCGGCGTATTTGTAGTCTTGCTTACGTGCTTCGTATGTGACGCGCCAGTGTCTTAATAGCAAGTTAACAGGTTAGTTTTCGTCAACTGTAGCCTTTGTAGTGCTTGTCGTTTTCGCTTCTCTTTACCTTCCCACTTCGTCTTCGGTATGGTTAGAGCCACCATCTCTCATGAGTGTTTTTGTGCCATCCATCTAGTCGCCTTTGCGCTCGGTACTCTACGGGCATCCGTAAATGTACCGCCCAGCTAGCCACATAAACACACCGTTCATCCAGCTCCGACACCAGGTGATTTTGCAGCTGCCTGCGTAGTTTCTTCTCTGCATTTCAACCCCTTGGTCTAATGCGACCCACGATCGGACGCATATTACACCGTTGTCTGTCTGCGCAGCTGACTTCTATGTTCCCTAGATATACGCTTAGTTAGGCTACGTTAAATCCTGTAATGTTAATACTGTTCGTAATGGAACACCAAAAGGCAGAATGAAGTGTTAAATGTTTATTTTATAACTCGGAAGATACAAAATTTAATATAAAATGATTAAAAAGGGGTTAAGTATGAAGCTGAACGTGTAACTATCCATAGAAAGCAGTCTTAGACGTCTGTATAATGAAAGGAATGAGAGTAAGCCTACTTAATAGTCCTTAACGTATAAGTGTGCATGCAACCCAAGTGCCCTATTTGCAATGATTGTTTGGTAAACATGGTGAATTGTAAATGAAAGCGGTGATATGTGTTCTGGAAACAAATTTATATAATGAACACATGGATATAGGCCGGAAGACATCTAAACTTCGCTTCATTCCTAATCTAGAACAAGATGCAAGCTTGATTTTCAGGTGCGGAGAAGCCTTCCTGTACATATTCAGGCTGTAGCACTAGTTAATATTAGTCCGAGACCATCATCACCATCATCATCAACAGCAGTACATCAGCCATTTGAACTGATGCTTCGCTGCCATACAACCATGAGGACCTATGAAATAAAGAGTAAGGAGAGAAGGGGGACTTACCTGAAAACCTTAATGCCCTAAGCAAACATTCAGGGTCAAGGCGCCTACACCTTGTGTAGACAACATACCGTCACAAACAGCTGGCTATCGGGCAAAGATAAGGCGGCATCGGCGAGACAGCTTCCTTGCGGCTTTCACTGCCACGCGTCATAATCAGCCATTACCCCGCAGATAACTCAGCACCAAACACACTTTAAACAGACAATCCGATTAGGAGACGGCAGCAGACGCGCCACTGGTGTCGGTTGCGAGCCATGTCCTGTAAAGTCTCGAGCCAAGCACAAGGTGAGTCACGTGGACTCCAACCCGGAAGACGAGACGGACCAACGGCACCCAGTTTGGTCGTCAGTGACTTCATTTCCCGCTGCCAAGTCAACTTCTGTCCACCTCGAGCCTTGCGCCATCCTACACCTGGTAGACTGAACAAGGCCCTCTTGGGTAAGCGGTGACCAGGCATGCGTAGCACGTGCCCGAGCCAACGTAACTTGTTCAGTGCTATCTGTTGTTCTAGGGAGCTAGCATGATCATCACCCCCTAGTAGTCGCCTACGCACATCATCGTTGCGGACACGCTGGTGCCATCCGACACCAGCAATGCTTCGCAAACAACGATGATCAAAGACTTGAAGGCGCCTCAGATCTTCAGACCGAAGGGGCCAAGTCTCACTCCCATAGAGTAGAACGGCCCTCACTGTGGCCTTGTTTACACGGCCTTTCAGACGGAGGGAAACTCGCCTCTGTCGCCAAAGATGATGCAGGTTCAAGAAGGCAGCTCTGGCCTTTGCAATGCGTGAGCTCACGTCAGTTGCTATGCGCCCATCATTGCTGATGCAGCTGCCAAGATAAGTGAATTGATCAACCACCTCGAGTTCCTCGTTAGCAAGCGTCAAGGGGTCATCGAGTGGCTGGTGGTCCTGCAGCAACACTTTGCACTTTGAAGGTGCGAAGTGCATACCAAATAATGGGACCACTCTGGATAGGCTATTCAGGGTTGATTGTGCCGCCTCAACATTGTCGAAAAGCAAGACGATATCGTCCGCATAATCTAGATCAACTAACCGTTCACCAGGCAGCACTTCAACACCTACATCGTGAGATTCCGCAAGGGAACATTCCATGATAGAATCCACGACGAAATTGAACAAAAATGGGGAAATCGGGCAACCCTGACGAACGCCACTTGTAGTCGAAAAGCTATCCGATAGGACACCATAGACCCTGACGCGGTCTGTAGTGTTCGAGTATAGAGCACGAAGGATGTTCACATATTTCGTGGGAACACCTTACTGCGCAAGTATTTCGAACAGAATCGATCGATCGACTGAATCGAACGCACTCTTGAAATCGAGGAACACAGCTATTGTCGGTCTGCGGTATGCGTGGCGCTGCTCTAGCACCTGCCGCAAAGTAAATATATGGTCTATACAGCCACGTCCTGGGCGAAAACCGGCCTGCTCTTCTCTAATCCGAGATTCCCGTTCCGCAGTGAGGCGACGAACGATAATCGAGGCCAGTAATTTTGTCACAACTGGCGTTAGGCTAATACCCCTGTGGTTCGCACAGTCTGTGCGACTGCCCTTTTTGTATATTGCCACTATAATCGATTCGCTCCAATTAGCCGGCACACTCTCTCGTTCCAGATACGTTCGAACAGGGAGGTCAGTGCTATGCAGAGGACCTCACCACCATCCTTAAATAGTGCAGGTGGTAGGGAATCCGGGCCAGCGGCACGAAAACGATTGAGGGCTGTGATCGCGTTTCGGACTTCGGCCTCCGACGGAGGCTCTAAACTAACCGTCCATGGCTCGTCCTGCATCACCTGAGTAGGAAGAGGTCCGGGAGCAGGGGGCCAGCTGAACTGATGTTCAAAGTGCTCAGCCCAACGAGCCATACGGCGCTCCTTATTGTGTATCAGCGCACCCGCGCTGTCCCTGATTGTCTCACTGACGCCTGGTTTTCTCGGACCAGTGGTGCGTATTAGCTGGAAGAGCTTCTGGTAATTGCCTACTGCTCCTGCCTCCTCCATTTCTTGAGCCCGACTGGTCCATCAGGCTTCCTTGTCAGCACGTTGGCTCCGCTTTAGTTCACGCCTAATAGCTCGACTGGTCACATTGTGTTCAGAATCAGGACTCTAACTCGGTCTACCAGCTGATGTCACCGCTGCATCCACGCATCCGGTTCCATCTCCGCCTCTCTGGTGACGCCGAGTCTGCCGCATCTGGGCAAGCTGGTGTTCGAATCGCCCTCAGCGCTAGAGCCGAGACTGCTTTGATTGATTGGATTCCGATCAATAGCCGCCTTTGTGCGATGAGGCTCCATGGCTCTTGTAAGGTCAGCAGATGTCGAGTCGAAAAGCGTGCTCTCTTCGTGATCTCTGCCTACGCGCCCACTGACTGTAGCTCAGACATCGTCAAAGACCAGTTCTACCAGAACCTTCATGAGCTGCTCCTAAGGGCTCCTAAAACAGACATCATTGTTTTGGCAGGTGACTTCAACGCGCGTGTCGGTCGTCTGCTGCCATGTGAGCGCCACCTCGGAGGACCGCATGGATATGATGATGTTCGCTCAGACAATGGAGAGAGACTGCTCAGTCTTTGTGCTGATCATCAACTATTCCTCTCCAGCACCAGCTTTCGTCATCCTGGACGCCAGTACGCCACTTGGCGCCCCCCATCATCAACCCAGCGCTGGTCACAGATTGACCACATAGCTATAAGTCGCAGGTGGCGCGGCAGTGTACGCGACTGCCGATCATTTTGGTCAACATGCGTCGACACCGATCATGCACTGGTGTGTGCGACCGTTTGCATGCGTTTTGGTGGTTCGCCTAGGTCAAAACACACCCGACTGAACGCCTCCAAGTTGGAGGACCCAATGGTGAAGAGAGATTATCAACAAAAGCTTCGCGAAAAGCTCCCTCTCTCTCACACTCTGGATGTTGATCAACACTGGTCAAGTCTCCAGCAAGCCTTGTTGTCGGCCGGTTTGTCCAGCTGTGGCCTCACTCGCTCCACTCCCAAATGCTGGATCTCGGGAAGATCATCAGAATTGCTGGATCGTCGACGGGCGGTGCCTGCTGGCGCAGAGTACAACGAACACCGCCGGTCTATTACGCAACAGCTGAAAGCAAGCCTTCGCTCTGATCGTGAACCTTGGTGGTCAAAACAAGCTGGTGAGATGGAAGCCGCTGCATCAGCTGGCAACTTCCGCCGTCTGTTTTACATCATCAGGGCCACTGGTTGCAATTTCCACGCTATCAGCCAGACGATTTGCGAATCAGACGGCACGAAGATCACCAACCTTCGCAGACGATTGGGTCGCTGGTCAGAGCATTTCGCTCTTCAGTTCAACCACCCAACACAGTCCCCTGCGACACCTCCAGCCCCAATGTATGATGCTTGGCCTGTCTCCACAGCCCCCCCCCAAATGAAGCAGAGATTCGAAATGTAGTCCGATCTTTGAAACGCCACAAAGCTTCGGGTCCCGACAACCTACCACCAGCTCTATTCAAAGATGGTGGGAGTGTACTTATCAGCGAAATCCTATCGCTGTTCACGAAAGTTTGGACTGAGGAGAAGGTTCCGAGCTCATGGGGAGAATCGGTCATTGTCCCAATTCACAAGAAGGGTTCCCGCGCCGATTGCTGCAACTACCGCGGAATCTCCCTAATCTCTGTCGCATCCAAAATCTTCGTGTCGGTCCTACTTGGCAGGCTTTCAACGACTAGAGAGGAGTTTTCCCGAGAAGAACAAGCTGGATTTCGTCCAGGCCGTGGCTGCATCGACCAAATCTTCACGCTTCGGCAAGTTCTCGAACTTCGTCACATCCACCGGCGGCCAACAATTGTAGTGTTTTTGGACATCCGAGCGGCATTTGATTCAGTAGATAGGTCTGCGTTGTGGAACTGTTTACTGAAGAAAGGTGTGCCCGACAAGCTTGTAACCATCCTGAAAGTACTTTACAGTCACACGTCGAGCAAAGTTAGGGCTTACGGCACGCACTCCTCTTCATTCGCTGTGACCAGCGGTGTTCGTCAAGGTTGCCCTATTTCACCTTTCCT